TGATAACGTCCTGAGTCTATCTACCTGGTATGTGGTTTTTCTCTTTTCCTACTGCCTTCTACCTTCTCAAACATTATTGTCTTTTCTAGTGAGTCATGTCTTCTCATGATATTGCCAAACACAGCATTCTCAGTCTATTCTTGTACCCCAACACAAAGATAGGAAAGTTAATGGCAAAGTGTTAATACATTTAGTTAACAAATAAAATGCTTTAAAAATCTAATTCATTTACATTTGTGTTACAAGAGAGAAAAATTAACTATTAAGTTCATGTTGGATTGCCATTTGAGTAAAGCCTGCATTAAAAGTCTTAACAGAATTAAGTTGAAAAATGTCCTCCATTATTTTACTCCCCCCTTATTCTCCCTCCCCCTTTGGGTCTTCATGTGGATTTTGATTGCTCCAATAACTTTTTCTACAAGTTCAGAATTTAAGGATACAAAGAAATGCCTTGTTTCAGTTTTATGAGTGCATTATCATGTTTGGAAATAAGGTGGGCATAGGGGAGCACCAGTTTACTCATACACAATTATCAATTGGCAGAAGACATTCTTGCAAATGCTGGGGATGTAGAAAAATGCTCACTGTGTCTTGAAGGTGAAAAAAGGGGGTTGTCATTGTCATGTGTGTGAATAAAATAAGATTTACAAGCCTAGTAAATTTTTATTTTAAAAAAATGAACTGAAAAACCCCCAACCCAACTACTTTTCCTGTTGCGTCTGGATTTAAATACAGCCCACTATGACTCTGGACTGACCCTGACAAAGTAAATCCAAAACATGAAGGATGTGACTGGGAAACAGTGAGTTGCAGCTTTCCCTGCAGACCCTTTAGCCTTTGAAAATGCATATTTTATTTGCCAAGTCCAGTTATGGGGGACTTTAATGCTTTTGCTTGTGTGCAGCACTGCTTGCTCATTACTCTTCATTCATTCATTCCACCTCTTCTAGTTTTCAATAAATCTCAGAATATCTTCCAATCAATTTTTCCTCCAATCCATCAGTAATCATATTTCCCTCCTTGGAATATATGTAGAATCAGTATTTTATTTCTCCCCTCTGAGCTGGTGCTGTCTTGGGTGTTTTGACATAATAATGGCTTTGGATATGTCCTATCATTGTTGACTCTTATATCTTGTTTATTGTTAATTTCTAGAGATAGGTTTCAGGGCTCAGCTAATTCTAGCCTTCAGGGTTCTAAGTTAAACTTCCACTGGAAAGCTATCTTTTTATATATGTACCTGGGATATTAAGTTAACCTACCAGCAGTGCTCAGGAAACTGAGGCATTTCTGGCTTAGCCCAGGTATAATTGGAACAGACAGAATTTTAGGAGGTATAAAACAAGAATTTAAAAATTAGAATATTTCATTTGTGCTTTTTGTAGCAGTGTATCCCTTTATTCTCAAATGTTTGCAGGTTTAGTATATTCTTTTTTACGTCACCCTCATTCAAAGCCAGCCCATGAAACTATACCATAACTGAGGACATCTACTCCTCCAAATTACTTATAACATTGGGAAGGATACCAAGGCAAAATTGCAACTGTATGGTGTCCCACATTGATACCCTTGGTGATATGGAAAAGGAACCTCTGTGCTGCACGTTTTGGATATGATGCCATTTAAAAATATTGCTATGCATCCCAAGTCATTGGTTGAGTTGTTTGTGCTTCTACTAGCTATGCACCCAACTATGCACCCAACTATGCAACCCCTGGATTACTGTGGCAGAAGACAACAAAATCCAAAATTCACAAAAGAGCAATATAGCTGACCCTCCTTATCCACAGATTCTTTACCCATGGATTCAACCATCCACAGCTTGAAAACATTTTTTAAAAATAAATTCTAAATAGCAAACCTTGATTTTGCCATTGTATATAACGGGCACCATTTTACTATGCTATTATATTTAATAGTAATTGATTATCCACAGATTTTGGTATCCACAGGAGGTTCTGGGACCAATGCCCAGTGGACAACAGCACTCATTATACCTTTATTGGCCAACCATAATGCAGAAAATACATCATGCAAGCTTTTGAAGCTTCACGTGCTTCATCATCAAGCAAAGATATTAAAAATCATACAAGAGAAAGGAAAAAATGACAGTGTTAAAGTCACAGGCCTACATTTTGTCTCAGATGTTATTTCTGTTGCCAGTTAGGATGGTCATGATATCAATGCAGACAGAGACCACTTTCCTTCTTGGCCATGTGAGGACTAGGTAAAAAGGGCAATAAAAGACAGCCCCATTTAGTAACAGAAAAGTAACTTCCCCTTTGCAAATGGAGTCAGCACTTTATTACTTGTCTTTTATTACTTTGTCCCCATCACTCAACCTTCAGTGGCCATTTATACATGCCTCCTTGAGTTATAAAAGCCAATCAGGGATCACATAACCCATGCAATGAGATTGTGCTACAATATAATCCATCAGTGCTAGCTGTCTATTGATGCTCTTAAGGATAAATGAAACCCATTAGAATGGACAAGGTCAGTTTAAGAATTGAAATGTTTTGTGGCCCCTTCACAATGACCCTTTACCTCAAACCCTTTTTGTTTCTGAAGCAAAATGGCTCCTTTGCTGATGTTGAACCACTTCATGAACTTGGCATAGCATTTTGGCTGAATGCTAGTTGTGCCCAATGCAAGCCTCCCTTTGTTATTACCATACCAGAACACGGAAACACTTATTTTAGCAGCATAAAACACTGATCCTGATTTAATACCTTTGAAATGACTCTGTACATTTAATAGAGTAGTTTAGCTTCATGTGGCCCCATAAATAAAGTAGATGAGCATAATAAAAGGCAGAAAATGATAAAACATATTTGCTACCTTGCTCTCTCATTTATAACCTAGGATGCTTGTTTACAGCTTGGGATCTTCCATAAATCCAATTGCAATCCACAACAATCCACTGGTACTTTAGCAGAATAAGCCAAAAAATAGGGCTTAAATTTAATGAGAATAAATATGCCAGCATTATGAAAATAGGACATTAAATCCTGATTAGGCACAATTTTTATTGAGTTGGGACACCCTCCCCCCCAAAAAACCCCCTCCAGTATCATTGTTCTAGTATGGAGTTAGTTAAAACTTCTCTTTTTTTAAACACAAGCATTACGTATAATTACAGTGATTATAGGTGCACTGCTAACCTAAATGGCTTTTTAAAAAGGAATGCACAAGTCCATGGAGTATAGGTCATTCATTGGCTATACTTGAAAAAAACAATGCATTTTAAGTGGGGAAACATTTAAGAGGGAAACATGTTGGTGAATGTGGATGCATATGTGTTCTTGTTGATTGCCATCAATTCCCTTTGGGTATAACCCTATATATGAAAAACTTTCAAGTCTCCTGTTATCAACAGCTCTGCTCAGGTTTTGCAAATTCAGAACCTTGACTTCCTTGACTTCCTGGACAGTGTAAAGTGGCCTCAAGCTGCACTATTTCTGGCAGTCTGTAAAGGCCCTTAGTCAATCCACCTGTAATGTGGTCTTCCTCTTCTCCTACTGCCTTCTGAACCAAGAATGATTGTTTTTTTCTAGTGAGTCATGTCTTTTCATATGTGCAAAGTATGACAATCTCAGTTTAGTTGTCTTGGCTACTAGGGAGCGATCAGGCTTAATTTGCTCTTGGAGTCACTTCTTTGTATATGTTGGGTTCATGAGAAATTACAAGAAGTATGAAAGCTCCCCATTATGGAGCAGTGTATCTTTGATTTCTCAAATACCTGGTGCAAAGAAAAGGGA